GTCCGGCTCATCATGCCAGCAGTCTGCGTTGGGCGCCGAGAACCTCATCGGCTCCACCGGTGTCTCGTCGCGGTCGGTGGGATCGAGCCAGAAGTACTCGGATTTCCAGTACCACAGATTCTTGTATATGGTGCCGTTGCAGTCACGGTGTCTGCTGTAGGGGATCATCCTCGCGGCCCATACACCTTCTTTTTCTTCTTCAGCTGCGGCGCCGGCAGTGGTGTTGACGTCGTCGTCGTCCTTGGTAGTGGTTACGGCGCTGATGATCGGATGGTTGCTGTCCATACCCGTACTAGTAGTGTTCGCCTTGGAATAGGTTGCTCCATTAATAATGCTCCAGGGTTGACCATACAAGGACAATCTAGAAATAGGCTGGATTGGCAGGGTCGTCGATGCTGCCGCATCAGCGAGTCGTCCACGTCGTCGTGGAGCACGAGCTGGACACCACCAGCGAGTTCCTAGTGTCGACCACCAGAGGCGCTGCATCTGCTTCTCTAGGTACGGTAGCCGGTGGCCTCTTCCGGATTGGCTGGGGATCGAACTGGTGGTGGTGGCGGCGGCGGCCCTGGGGTGGGGTGGAGGAATGGCCGGAGGAACTATAGGAACAAGAAGAGGGCCGGGCCGGGCTAACCAAGGGAACGCCGCCGGGCCAGGCCGTGTATATGAACTACCTGTTCCTGGGCTGGTGGCTGCTGAGGCTAGCTTCGGGAGAGGAAGCCCACGGCCCACTCGACCTTCCCGGAACTGGCCCATGACACCACGGGCACACGACTACGGCGGCGTACGCACGGCACGCCTAAAACTGCGTGTCTGTACAATGACGTCCACGTCCATGATTGAGTCCATTCTTAAAGCATGGTTAATAACCCAGCCAGCAGCGGGCTGTATGCTACTGCCATGTCAGCTATAGTCATCCTAAGAAACACTCGTATGATAGGCTGACTGATAAGCTGTCGTTTATCATCTTTTTTTAAAGAATTAACTATTTGATACTTTATAGGTGCACATCATCTGTTGTGGCTATATCTTTGTGGCCATTTCATCAAATATGTGAACAGCATACATATACCATATGCGCGCGGTTGAGCGAGACTAGGCGGTTTGCACGGGATCGTTCGGTGGGGAACGAAGCGCCTTCTTTTCGCCCGCAGCTGGCTGGATGCCGGCTGTGTCGTCAGATTCAGCCCGGCGAAAAGTAGAGCGCCGGCCCGTTTTCTTTCTCCTTTTCTCTCTCTGCCAGATCATGCCTTTTTTCTATGTGGCCTCAATTCAGCCGGCTGACTGAGCCTTATAATACTCTCTTAGGGCGTCCCCAGCGGCACCGGGAAATCGGCAGGCGAGGAGGTGGGCTGAAAGAATAAACTAATGTCTAGCTGCACAGCTTACGAAGGTGGGCCAGGAGGGCAGAGGCAGTAGTGACTTCCATGGGAATCTGTGCGAGCTGAGCGAGGAGCTCCACGCCAGCCTTCACTTTTCGGCCATCTCTCTCTTCCACGTAGACAAATAGCTAGCTAGGAGTTACTTGTTGGGACACCCTTAACATCCGGTGGCCTGTTCGGCTCGCTGAATCTTAGTTCAAATTAACTAAAAAATACTGTTCTGGCTAAATTATTGTGAGAGAAAACATTGTTCCGATTAAAAAAAACTGAATATGGGATAAGCCGAACAGGCCCAGTGTGTAGAGGACGGGGGCCGTTTGAAAACTCTTCTTTCATTACTGTCTCGATCCTCAAAAGAATGTAACTATAGGTTATGTGCAACGAAAAATGATTTATGTTTAACCAAGTTTTTAGTGAATAATATTCACAATTATGTCTTTAAATTAATTTGTTATGAAAATGCATTTCGTAATTAATCTGATGGTATTTATTTAGTATCATAAACATGAATACTTTTTTTATCTATAATTAGTTAAACTTAAGGTACTGAAATGTGACACTGTACTAATTGTATTTTTTGGATGGAGGTAGTATTATTTTTCGTCGGCCAAACAAAAAAGACAACCATAAATATTAGGACTGAACAAGAAGCGGTTGAGCCGTCGATTTGATAGTTTTGGACCGGATGAATTGAGCCGCGTACAAATACTTTGGAACCGGTGTAATATAATGATATATAACATGTAATTATCAGATCATATACAGATAAGCTATAATGATGAATTGCGCCGGCGTGGGCAAGAGAGAGAGCGCGCGGTGCAGCAGGCAGCGCGGAGTGAAGCGGAGCAAGGCGAGGCGGCCAGGCACGTGCGGAGTTTATTTATTTATTTAGACGAGCTGCGTCCGGAGTGGAGTCTGGCGTCCGAGGACCGAACAGGATCATTATCGTTAAAATTAACACAGCTTAAAACTAAACAGCAAACACAACGAATTCACCGAGACAGAAGCGAGACCATCAAGTTTTACATCATTGCTGGCACATCCATGCGCCTTAGCTTCAAAGGAACAACAACGCTCAACAACATTGGAGACGACGCCATTGTTCTGCTCTACCGCCTTTAACTTCAGATGCATCACGGTATCCATCGAGACAGCGACCACAAACCTCCTCAAGCCACAGGGTTCAGCGACATGGCCACCGAAGAGCTGAAACTCCTTGTGTGCCACACCCGGCATCGTCGAAACAGCACAACCGAGAGAGAAATCGAACGCGTCATCTCCCACCTCGGATATGGCAACCTCAACCGTGGCCTCGAATCCGTAAACATTGCTCAGCGACATGTCCACGGCGCCGCCGGCGTCTCCGTTGATGCGGACGGTGCTCGGTTTGCCCGTCATGTGCATCTCGTAGAACTCCGTCATCCCGTCGATCAGCTGCGCCGTCTTCCTCCCTGTCCCCGTTCTTGATCCTCATGTCGAACTCCAAGAGGACGTCGCAGTTAAGCACGATGCCTCTCTTAGGGCCGGTCATCTCAATGGGAGAGCCTTGCCGCGCAGGCAGGGGCACGGCGATCGGATCGTCCCTGCCGCGTCTGAACACGTAGTTGAGCTTCGAGTCGACGTCGTCTCGTGCGGCGATGTACCCATACAGCTGTACCAACCCCCCATGAGCGTTCATGGGAGCTGGAGGAGCTCTAGCCAGCTTCAGCGAGAAAACCTGCAGCATGCCATATGGCACATGGTAGCCGCAGTCGTCGTCCGGCTCATCGTGCCAGCAGTCTGCGTTGGGCGCCGAGAACCTCATCGCCTCCAATGGGGTCTCGTCGCGGTCGGTGGGATCGAGGCCGAGGTAATCGGATTTCCATAACGGCAGATTCTTGTATATGGTGCCGTCACGGTGGCTGCTGTACGGGATGATCATCGCGGCCCATACACCTTCTTCTTCTTCTTCAGCTGCGGCTGCGGCAGTGGTGTTGACATCGCCGCCGCCGTCCTTAGTAGTGGTTGCGGCGCTGATGGTCCGATGGTTGCTGACCCTGTCCGTAGTAGTGGTCACCTTGGAATAGGTTGCTCCAATGATGCTCCACGGTTGTCCGTACAAGGAGAATCGGGAAAGCTGCTGGGTTGGAAGGGTCGTCGCCGATGCTGCCGCATCAGCGAGTCGTCCACGTCGTCGTGGCGCAAGAGATGGACACCGCCAGCGAGATCCTAGGGTCGACCGTGAGAGGCGCTGCATCTGCCTCTCTATCGCCTTGGTACGGTAGCCGGTGGCTTCTTCCCGATTGGCTGGGGATCGAACTGGCAGCGGCGGCGGCGGCGGCCGGAGGACTATAGGAAGAAGAAGAGGGCCGGGACGGGCCAGGCCGTATGTATGAACTACCTGTGGTTAGGCCCACTCGACCTTCCCAGGTCCATGATTGAGTCAGTGTGTAGGGGGCCGTTTGACAACTCTTCTTTCAAGCAGTTTTTATCACCTCTCAAAAAAAAAGAAGCAGTTTTTATCATTTTTCCTCAACCAAACAGACAATATGTTCTGGTGAGAGCAAATTACGTCTCCATTCGCACTTAAAGCTAGAAATCACTGAATCACTGTAGAACTAATTCTCACCTGCTCTCTATCCATCAGAGAATCAAGAATCTAAAGCTAAGAATAATCTATTTCCGATTCATATCCCACGGCCGTCTTGCTTATAGTACCTTCGTCCTTAGTGGCGGAGATGGATATAGGAAAAGAGGAGTCAATATGACATCAAATGGAAGCACAGGGGATCAGATTGGTATTATGTTAGCACTTAAAACAATGAAGTACTCCTACTAAAGTAATACCACTACTGTTTAGTTTGGTGAGTTGTAACGAAAAATGGGAAATCAAATTACAGGTTAATCAGAGGTGGGATGGATGATTGTGGCCTTCGCTTGCCGCAACCAGCCATGTGCAGCTCCTGCCATCATGATCTCCGCCAAGGAGCTTATGCGACGGCACCGGCCTATCCAAGCTGAACCAGGCTTTCCTGAGTCTATCCCGTCCAGGCCTACGCCGTGATCTGATTAATTTCACGACAAAACAAAATGGCGAACCAAACACCACCTTAAAACTCAGATATAATAATAATCAATAAAACAGCGAACTATCGAAGGAAGGGGAGTAGCTAACTATTATTATTAATAACCTAATCTACTACTAGGAGTAGTATATATGATCAGACAACAGTGCTGAAACACCGTTTCACTGACAATTAGCTCAGCCGATGGTATCCTCACGAGGAGCTCCCGTTGCCTCTTCAGCTTTCTTTTCTTCTCTCGCACGAGCCCTTGACAAAGCCTCAGTCATATCAGAGTTCATTGGCACAGCAACTTTCAGCAGATCAATGAAAGCTTCGACATCCGTGACCTCCCTTTCATCTCCAAGATAAGTATCATCTCAATCATCGAAGGCTCAGGGACCCAGCCAGAATTAGGGGCGTACATATAGAGGGCATTTTTTGTCAGCTCATAAGCTCTCGCGACATCACCTTTCTCTGTATAGCCACTTGCCACAATTTCCCAGCTGGTTGAATGAGGCATCTTTCCCTTTATCAAGAAGTCATCGAGCAGCGCCTCGGCCTTGTCCAGCAAGCCCTTTTAGCAGTATCCTTTGAGCAGGATATTTGGAAATTTGAAGTTGAATGCATTTTTGCTGGACTCCCACTCTTTCAGCAAATCTTCAGCTTCCGCGATCTCATCAAACTTCACAAGCACTGCAAGCATGTTGGTGTAGTCCGTGTTAAGATGCCTCTTACAGTTCAACATTTGCAGTGCCCATAGCCTCTTGACCTCTGATTTGTCCCCAAGGTGTCCATGCAGGGAAATCAAGTGGCTACAGGCACCAGAATCCTTTTTATCCATTTTTGCCTCTGCTTTCTGTAAGGTAGAGTATGCGTTCTCCCTTAGGTCACCCTTAATGTAGTGGCTTGCAACAACAGCTGATAAAGCCAGAGAATTGGGCACTTGATTGATGAACTGGTGGGGAGATTACAGTAGTCGATACAAGCAATGGCAGCAGCAGAAGAGCTAGTTCGCCCTCCCTGGGAGCCCTCCCTGGGAGGCTCTGAACATGACAACTCTTCTTCTGCTTGATCCTAATGCCCAGCCGCACAAGTGGTTATAATACCCACATGAGCAGCTGAGGTACTCCTATTATTCCTGTATGTTCTAGCTAGCGCTTGGACTCCTATTATTCGTGGACTCCTATTATTCCTGCATGTTCTAATCTTAGCTAGCTTGGACTAATCCTAGCCACTAGAGCCAGCCGAGCCTTTCTTCTTCTTCCTATTATACTGCTGCCCAATGAAGGAGTCCACAACAACAGCATAGGTATCCTAGTCAACAACAAATTGAGGCGCACATTCCATCTCCTCCAGGGTGTTCTCCAACCCAAAAAAGTTAGCTCTTGTGCCATAAGCATTTATGCATATGTTGTAGCTAAAATTATCGGGAACACTCCCATTCCTCTTCATTTCTGCTATCACCAAAGGGACCAGCTCATGCTGCCCTATGTTGGTATAGAGGCTCATGAGGTTGTTGTAGGGGAGTGCGATGAACACGAAACCCAGCTCTTTCATCTTCTGAAAATGGGCTAATGCTTTGTCGACCAAGTGTTCTCGTGTGTAGCAGTTGAGAAGTGCACCATAGGGTTTCACTGTCTTATCTTTGTCAGATAGGTTATTGAAGTAGGTCTCTGCTGCTCCAACTCCATGAATATGACCGATTAAATCCAGGTGAACAGCATGATCCTTTGGCAGAAACTTGACATGACCCTTGATATTCATCCACTCTGAGACCTGTGCAAAGTGAAAAGATAACGATCAATGAGGGATGCCAAAATTTCGTAACAAACTGTGGATACAGCAAGTCTGCAACAGGAAGTCCTAGAACATATATGCTTCTTGAGGACATGTATTCACTAATCATGTGCTATGAAGCAATGATAGCCAAGCTTGTACTAAATCCCACATAATGACATAAGTAGTACCTATGACTGAAAAGAGGCCAAAATCTCTCTGGACTCCTGAATTCCAAGAGATAATTAAAGTTGCTCTCTTTGTGTCAGTCCTATCCATGTTGGATATAGAAGGACAAAGTATTCACAGAAACTATTTCATGACATTAGCATAGGAGCAATGAGTCGCATATAGCAGTTTAGAAATTTCTGTATTACTCGTGATCGAGAGAAATATATCCTCTTTCTGTAGCAGCATTACATCATACACATACACCTCAAATGCAAATACGAAGAGACAGATAATATGGCAAGAAAAACAACACCATCCCCCATATCATTTCATCAAACACCTTCCACGCGCCAATGAAAGGAGGAGGGTATGGAGGAAAACCGTATCTACCTCGAGGGCCTGGCGGTGGCGGAGGCGCGTGCGCATCTCCTTGACGATGCGTCGGAGATCAACGTCTCGGAGGCAGTTTCTGGGCTGCGCCGCCCAAAGGTCGATCTCCGGCACAAGGAGTGTGCATGGGTTTCCCAGCGGCCACAGCGTGGACCCCAGGGTCGGCGGCCGCGCCGGCGGCGTTCCCTCCTCGGCGCTGTTGCTGCGAGACGAGGAGGCAACGGCACGATAGGGTGGGACGGGGAGGAGCCCTCCCCGGCGGCCAAGGCTGATCAGGCGGCGTGCCACGGCGAAGAGAGAGGATGAGGCCATGGCGAACGGCGTGGCGGGTGGCGGCTTCGCAGGCACTGACTTGCCGTAGGCAGTATCCCGTGCGGGTTTTGGGCCACTCTTTTGGGATTTGGGCTTTGGCCATTTCGGTTTTGGGCCAAATTCATCAGACCCTCTCCTTGAAACCCATGCCCGAACGAAAAAAAAAAAAACATTCTGCATCCATAAATTATGGGAGCAAGGACGTCTAACGCGAGGAAGCGTCCGGACGCCCGCGCAGCCTGCTCCGTGCGCTAATTTTATTTCCTCCCCGTACCTACATCCATCGTCCACGAGTTCACACGACTCGCCTTGCACCCGTAGCCCGCCCTGTCCGTCTCTATTCGAGGCTGTTCGCACCATCCTGCACACATGTCGCGCCCCCGACCGGCGGCCCCAACGCGCCCCGTCTGCTGGCCCTAGCTTGCCGCGCCCCATCATTACCTAGCGACCGTGCCGTGCCACCATCACTCCCCGCGCCCCTTGACTCTTCGAACAACATGAAACACGTGCAACATAAAACACTTGAATGCAACATCCGTATAAAACAGATGAAACATCTAGAACATACACTTGCAACATACTTATGAAACATATGCAACATCAGATAAAAACACTTGCAAATTGCAGTGTGAAAACACTTACTGCAATATAAGACTGAAACAGCTGAAACATATTGTTGCAATATATGTGTGAAACATATGCAACATTCAGATCAGAACGCTTGCACATACGTCTAGAACAGATGAAACATTTTGAACAACACCTGTGAAAGACTTGCAACATGCCTCTCAAAACACTTGCAACATGTGCAACATCCATATGAAACAATTGCAACATACCTCCGAAACGTCTGAAACACTAAACATACACTTGCAACATGTGCTTTCATCGCAACATCTCCTTGCTGAGGTCGTGCGTCACGGCGGCCATAGTGTCGACAGCGGCCACGACCTTCTGGTGGGGAACAGTGGTGGCGGCACCTCAGCAGCACCCCCGCGCGCGTGGGGACGGGACACGGCGCGCAACGAGCTGGAGTGGGGGCGCAGTGCGTAGCGAGCTGGAGCGGATGTGGCGGGGGATGGAGCACGACGCGGCGATAGAGGGGGCGCGACATGGGATGGGAGTGCGACGCAAGATAAGGTGCACAGCGGGGGAGACGACAGCAGCCGAGCAGTGAGCGCGCGCGATGGGGTGAGCACGGGAGTGGGAGATATTTTGATTGAGAGATAGGGAGACGCAAGGAAGCAGGCATGTTGGGCCGCGCAGGCCCATAAAACGGCGTCCGGACGAACAGACGCCCGCGCCTAAGCATTAGGGATAAACTATTGGTCTAATTTGGATGGGTAATTTGAGCGGTTTTCACAGTTCGTAGAGACATCCTCTGTGCGATGGAAACGGAGAAGCCATAGCCATTGCAAAAGTTGTGGCGCCCCCACTCCGTGTCTCCGATGCGCCATGGCTCTGTTCGTTTGGCTAAAAAGTCATGCTGAAAAGTACTGTTGGCTGATTTGTTACGAAAGAAAAATATTGTTTCTTCGCTGAAAAAGTACGACTCATAAGACATGCGAACAGTGCCGATTGCTGCAACCATGCAGCTCTTGCCGTCGTGCATCAGGCCACAGACGGCGCCGACGCAGCCTTACGTCTTGATCTCCGCCGTGGAGCCCTTGCGGAGTTGCGGTGACGGCACCGGCCTATCCAAGATGGACCTGACTGCCTGCCCTGGCCGGTAACGGATCACGTGGTAACGCATTACACCAAGCACGTACCGGCATCGCTTCCCCTCGGTGGTCTGATTACGAGTGATTGGGCGCGCCCCTGCGCGCAGGTTGACACCATAGATGTTCTTTTGGATCAACACAATTAATTATATGGATAACGACATACAAAAGAGAAGCACAACACAAATGGACATCGATCATGAATAAAATTAGAGCACATTCGGTATAAAATAATGTTGCTGATATAGTCATTAGCTCCTTATGAGCATGAACTATCCCAAGATAAATGACAATCCACTTTCATCGAGATACTTAAATTACCTATGCACCTGTGGCTAGAGTTACTTTTAAAATATCTCCCTATTGAAATTAGCATTATTTGGTGTAAAAAAAGGTTACCATGTAAATCCAGAATGACATCAATTCACAAAGCAAAACAAAGTTCATGAACGCCATCTATATTTGGCTGTAAGCCGTGATAATGTTCACATCTAAGCACATGATTGTTAGTTGCTACCCTGACAAACTGATAAACCTTAAAAACAGAAACCCATGCTTGTAAACATGCACATTCAAGTAAAGAAAACTATGTTACACCAGCAGTGTTGGATAATACAACTGCATCAGACATCTTTCAACATTTTCATAGTATTCTCTTTTTTGGAAAAGCCACAAGTTAATTTTGGCTGCATCATACATCTCTCAACCCATTTTCATAGTAGTATCTGAATGGAAGCTTATCTCAGCTCTTGCTGACATGTATGCAATTCATGCACTTCAGTAGTCAAAATCAAGTTGCCTTTTAGTCAAGAAAACAAATTACCTATCCAACACATAGATGGGTCATTATCACAATTGTAGATCAATAAGTCAGATTAAAAAATATTTACAGATTAAAAGAGGATGACACTAACACACCTCTAAACATCTGCATATGAGTTCGATATTTCAATAACTCAAATTCAGGCTGGAGTTTCCTTGAGCTCGTAGGGCATAGGAATCTTAGAGAAACCTGAAAACAGAAGCGCAAAAGTATGTTAGAATAATTACCGCATCCGTTAGTGTTTAATTTCCAAGTCCTTTAAGTTAGTACCAACTCTCTTCAAACCACTTTTTAGCTCCTCCAACTTGATCTGCCCACTATTGTCAGTGTCCAGCATTTTGAACATTTCTCTCAATCCTGCAATTTCATCTGCAGACAAATTTTCAGCAATGACCTACAGACACCCAGTGATAAGATCAATATTGAATATAATACATATGCTCTCTATAAAACCAAGTGATAACACATTCCAGTACTCACCCTAAGGGGCATCTTCTTTAGTTTATTCATTGGAGAAAATTGTTTCAATCTGGTTAAGGCAACAGAATTCCAGAGGTTTGTCAGGAGCAACTCCATGTACATAAATTCAGGGATCTCCTACCAAAGTGAAGATGCGTAATTTTAGAAGACTTATGACAATGAAGCTAGATGAACAACAGGATGCTCTTGCCAGCCTGCCTAATAGAAGGATGCATGTGTACCATACTACTGGTTTGATGCTAGCTGATGAGGTGCAATGGCCAGCCCCATCCCTTACAGTGCTATAACTAAAAAAAATCAAAATCAATAGAATAGCACAATCTCATATATATGGAGGCAAACTATATCGGCCAACCCCTTCCCCAGTGCCAGGGACACGGCACACTGCATCAGCAGGCACACCGCGCATCCCTTTCCCTGCCGGCAAGGTCCATCAGGCACACCTGTGCAGTCGTTGAACAGAAAAAAAATGTAGGCCAACTAATAGGAAAGGAACGTACAAACACAACTCTAAAGTTCGTGCAACCGGGGTGAATCGAAGTCCAGGAAAGAACCCCTTCCTTTGGGTGAGCACCCTTCATCACAGAATCCAGAGAAAAGAAACATCATAAGCAAGACAATAAAACCGCAGAACCCCAAAATCCCCACGATCACATAAATGCAAAGGAGCCGCAAAAATCCACAGGTAAAGCATTTTTGGAGAGACCTGACTATAGATTCACACAATCGCACAACGGCAGCACAACACTGGAAGAAAGCAGCAAAAAGACCCAGAGTAGGAGAGACCTGACTATAGATTCACACACTCGCACAACGGCAGCACAGGGAGCAGTTTTGGAGGCCATTTAGTGGGTTTCGAGTGTAGAAGATTCATGAGCTTGGCAGTGAACTGATCATATGGGGTCATCGGTGATACTTGTCCGTTGTATGGATGAGGACTTTGTCTGAACATATGGTATCCATGTCTGAGGTTGCAAGCACCGCGTCAGGAAAACAGGCAGCATGCAAGAAACAACATGACACATGATCTCAGCCATAAGTATGGAAAAGGAAAACCATGCCATTTTTATTTCAGATAGAAATATTTTTGGAGAATACTCTAGACAGTGTCATATAAATTGATGCAGCTGTGATCAGTCTACTATTTGATAGAACCAAAATTGTAAGCGTTCACGAACTTGGTCATTTTTATCTAAGCAACTTGATCCGATAATAGTGGTATGGTTGAATGCCGATGAAGGCAAGCTAACTGTACAATTCCCTGATGCTATCCATTGAACTACAGAAAAAAATTGAACCTCACTGAGTCAATGAATGTACAAAACAACACTGAGAGCACAGAAAGGAAACAAATGTTAAACCAAACCCCATCATGTATTCATGTCAATGCTCTTAATTTTGCCCGCAGAGCTAGAAGGTGCGTTGAGTACAGGACAATGATCTATGAAGTACATGCTGCAGTCTGCAGATGAAAACGGGACTCAGTGGATGAACCACAGAAATAACATGTACTCAAGCAGAAACCAGGGCGAACAGGTAGAACTGGCACCGCACACCTACATACATCAAGCTTGACCATTTTGTTGGGAAGCAGTTATTGTACAGGATATCTTTCCACTGATCTGCAAAGAAGATATAAATATATAATCATGTTTTTAGTTGTATAGGAAGCAAGAACAGACCTCACATATCTAAAATACCTGGCACAAGATTGGATCCTTATCTGACACATGAATACAGAAAAGAAAGAAGAGAGGAACTAAATATGGTAGTCTGTAGAATGATGGGCACTACAGCAAATCTTAATCTAACTGACAATGGCTAAGAAAAATACATGAGGAATTTGAAACAGAACAGGTTTGAATACAATATAACCTGTAAGGATGCAAGATGCTGAACTGATTGCACTATCCCCTTGGTAACAAATGGAAGTGAAATCAAATCACAGAAACAGCTAAGTAGCAGTCTATAAAGCA